TGCCAAGGCAGAGGGCAACGTTGGGCCGGAGCGGCCAAACGCGGCCGCCAGCCTGAAGTGGCGGCAAAAGTACCAGCGCAGCAGCGGCAGCCCAGGTGCCATGGGCGCTCCCGAGGGCAGCGAGTGGGAGACGGTGAGCGGCCTGGGGGGGGGAGCAATACAATACCATTTGCATTGGCCGTTGCCAGCAGGGCTGTCTAGTGGCTGCTCACGCTAGCCTGGCGCACCGCGACACTGCCGGCGAGGCACGTCATGCACACTGTTGACGCCCACCGCGCCCGCACCCTGCCGCACGGACAGCACCAGAACCTGAGGAGGGGGTCGGGGCGAAACGCCTCCGGATTACGAGCCATCAGCGTCAGCAGACGCATGCTGGCCGCCTGGTTCCCAGGCGCGCCCCTGCCGCTCAACATCAGCGTGCAGCTGGAGGTGGACGGGCAGCCCTGCGACCCACCCTTTGACAGCACCATCAACCGGTCTGGGTTCATCATCAAGCGCATATACAGCATGACGGAGCTGGCCGGCTGCCACCTCACCAATTTTCGGCGCGGCGCGGGCGACGCGGCGCTCACGTTGGTCATAACGCGCGGCGGGCAGCGGAGCGCACTGCGGGGCGGGCAGGAGGCGGGGCAGGGGGATGTAGAGGCAGCGCCGCAGATCCCTGCCACGCCGAGGCTGGCGGAGCCCAGGGAGCCCGGCCGCACGGCGGGTGCGCAGCAGCAGGGGGCCGGCATCCATCGGGCTCAGGGGGGCGTACTGCCGGCGGCGCCCGCAGCGGAGCAAGCGACGCGCGCGGACGTCCCCGGGCCGACGGCGGGGCGCGCCCGCCGTGAGGGCGAGACGCCTGGCGCGAGGCGGCAGCAGGCGGCGCCCGCGGCCATGCCTTGGGCGGCGGCTCCGGCCGCGGTGGAAGCTGAGGGGGTGGCCCCGGCCATGCTGGCGGGCTTGGCCCAATTGGAGGTGCCTGTGCCGGCGGCGCCACTCGCGGCTGGCGGCGCGGCTGCATTGAACGCGGCCGCTGCCGCGCTGCAGGAGGCTGCCTTGTTGGCGTATGAAGAGGTGCTGCGCGCGGCCGAGGCGCTGGGCCTGCCGCCCGAGCGCCTTGACACGGTGTGCGGCGGCGTGCAGGCGGCGACCGAGGAAGCGGGCGGCTGCCGGCGGTTCCTGGGGATGGAGTACCCGCGGCTGCGGCGTGCGTGCGCGGCGGGGGCGATGGACGTTGTGAGGGCCTGGATGGAGCGGGTGGCAGGATCAGGCGGCGGCTGACAATGTTCAGGGCTTCGAAAGGAAGTGTGAGGTTCTGCCATGCAGCCCGCCAATCAGGCGGTTGGGATCGTCAACAGTGTAAGAACCGGCTGCCGGATGGAGCAGGGCTGCTCGCCATTTTTTTAAGCCAGCAGCTGCAGCCCCGCGGCAGATATCAATGTGGATGACGCTGTGTGTCATGGGTGTGTCCGGCCTGGCTGCTGCAGAATCGCAACACACAGGTCTGGAGATTCTCATTCATTCACACCAGCGCAAGCCTTGTTTGGCTACCGCCTGCCTGAAAATTCACCACACAAGCATGGCAGCTGGCCCCGACACTGTCACCGCTGCTTGCAGCCTGCCACAGCGACGCTCTTGACCCTCGTGTGACCACTTTTTAGCGAGCGGCCCGGCTGCCGCACAAACTCCATCCACTTCAGCATGTGTTACGGTATGTGGCCCATCGCATCCTGAAATGCATAGTACGCAAAATCCCCCGATGCTGGTAGACCCGCATCCAAAAAGCCGAAACCTGGCCGTTCTCAGCCGCCACTGCACGCCACCACATGCCTGCTCGGTCCTGCGCAACTGCCGCCATTCCTGGGCCGCCCATTTCCAAGAGCATAGGCTTCACTGGGCTGTGCACTGCTCAGGTCCTTGCCATATACCTTTGTTTTGCCGGTCTGGAAGCAGGCAACGGGCACACGCATATCATTATAAGGCTGGCCCGTGGCCCCCTCGAAGCTTCGAGCCGCTCCGAACAGAGTCGATTCGGCCTTTTCAACCAGCTCTGTCCTTGTGCTGCGCTGCAGTCCCTCTCAAGAGCAGGGTGCAGGGTGCTTATCTGCCTCCAGGTGAGAGCAGGCTGGGTGCTGGGTGCAGCACACTGCCGGCGCTTGAAGGCATCACGCCGGTGTTGGGATGATGTTGCTGGATGGATTCAAGTTGCATGGCACCTGTGGATGGTTTTAAAGGCTATCTTCTCTGCAGCTGTTTGCGGGCTCAGCACCCTGCTGTCGGCTTTTACAGCACCATGTTCAGCCTGGGCCCAAGCAAGCAAGCCACCTGCCATACCCACTGCCTTGTGCCACCTTGGGCATTTGAGCAGCTCGACCCAGTCTTGTCTGGCGCTGCAGGCTGCATATGAAGACGCCTCAGGGCCTGTTCCTCCCCAGGTTAGCGCTGGATGCTTGGCAGATTGCTGGCTTTGGGCTTGCCGCGGGCACCGCTAGCGTGCAACAATTACAACCATGCCGCATCGATTGCTGAGACGAGTGAAGATCTCGTACTCAGCGCCATTGCAGCGATGCCATCCTGCCGCTGCCCTGGGCGCCGACAGCCATTGCCAACCAGGGATGAAAGGCTGAACAAGCGTCACCCTTGGCTTGCTGCAACTGCCAGCAGTACCTGACAACAGCCGCAAGGCATGGAGTTTTTTGATGTGGAGGCCCTGCGGGAGTTCCTGCACAAAGGAGCTAGTGTGTATGGAGAGTACGCTGGGAGGCTGTGGTCGCATGGCGTGCGGAGCACGTGGGATCTAGCACACGCAGGTTTGGACACTTTCGCAGCCGCTGGCGTCGCCAACGCCTTCCATGCAGGAGGCATCAAGGCGCTAGCAGGTGCGGGGCTTACTTACAGCTGCAGGGCGTGCTGCGCAGCAGCTCCAGCCGCTGGAATGTTGCGCATGTGTGCATTGAACTGGGAGCCTTACACTCACAGGTGTGGGCACAGCTTGCAGCAGGCCTGCACAATCAATATGGCTACTGCTGCTGGCTTCATGATCATCTGCTTGCAATCGTGCCAAATCTGCTTGCATATGCTGCTGCTGCTCCCCCTCCCTCTTCCCCATCATTCACGCCGGCTACACACGCCTGACTTTCTGTCTGCGCCCGTGCTGCCGTTCGCTGCTCCGTATCGCCACTGCCCTGTACTCGCCGCTGTACGGGCGCAGGAGGGGGAGCCCCAGGTATGCATCTTACCATCTTAGAATCCAGATTGCTTTGTGGCTGGCAGGGGCTTGGGCTTCATGGGGTTAATCACAGCAAACATCGCTGGCCTTAGGGGAGTCGGAATTGTGCAGCGCTGATCCTGGTTGGAGACCCAGCTGCATGTTGCAAGCACGGCGTGGTGACGAGGCCAAGCAATGCACCCATACTAGACCGTGGGTGCACGTTATGTCGGAACGCATGTGAGAGCGCGCATTCTTCCTCTCTCCCATCCCTCTTTCTACCCCTCAGCTCTTTCTCTCCCCTCCCCCACTCTCCCCCCATCTCTCTCCCCTCCCTCTCGTTCTCCGCTCGCTCTCCACCCCACGCTCCCTCTCCCCTCTCCCCCCTCCCCTCTCCCCTCTCCTCTATCCCCCACGTAGCCAGCCGGCCACGTGCTCTTTTCTGTTGTGTTTTTGGTTTTCGCGCAGTAAACCAGCGCCCAGTCACCCTGCAATGAAGCCACAACCTGCCCTGCCGTGCGCCTCAGACCACTACCGCGCTCGCGACCTGATCAAGGCGGCGGCCCCCGCCACCTGGAGGCTCCAGATGAGTGCGGTGGCCCCCACCAAAAACCGCCCCTACGGAGAGTGTACGGTGAAGAGATGGGACCTGTACCCGGTCGCGAAGCAGGAGATATTCGACTACCTTACAGGCAGGTGCCAGGGTGTCACGCTCAAGAACAACCCCTGTCGCCCCTGGCAACAGGATCGCCTGCTGCGCTCCGAGGAGGACTGCCAGCACGTGTGAGTGCTCGACTTGGCCCGGTGCCTCGTGCTTGCTGAGCCCTTTGTTGGACTCTCCTAGGGTTTAGAATTTGGGGTTGATGGTTCACGGTTAACCTTAGGGTTTAGCCTTTGGGTTTAGGGCTTAGTCAAGACCTAGCAGGTAACCTGCTTTCCACATAGGGGATGTAATGAGCACTTGGCCCTCCTTGTTGCCTTCAGGTTTGCCAGGTGCTTCGCGGGCCCGGCGGCGAAGATTTTCACGGCGGTGACTGACAGAGTCGCCATCTTTTCCCTCAAGTGGGACAACGAGCCATCAAAGGGCGTGCCAGACTTCTGGTTTGAGCGTCTCGACCACAGCAAGCTGTTTCTGGGGGAGGGAGAGGTGAGGACGAGCTGCCAGTGCGGGGGCTGCGTGGCCCTCGTGCCGGCTGCAAGCATGGGTACTGCAACTGCACACACACCCACCTGCTGGGGAGCTGGCGAGTGCCTTTATTGTCGGATAGATACGTCACATCAAGTTGGTTTGCTGACACGTGCTGGCAAGAAAGTGTGCTATGGAACCAGTTGGCCAACACGCCCATGCACCATCCCTAATCCCCCCGCCCCTCAAATTTCTTTGTAGAGGCCCACGGTGCTCAGCAGCTACCACTCCCTCTACGAGGCAGTCGCCAGCGACGCAACCGCCGCCGGCTGCGCGCAGCGAGTTTGCCAGTACATGTATGCGCGGGTGGGTGCGACCCTCTCCAGAGCAGCAAGCCTGGGGCGCTGCTCCCTGGGAGTTGGACTGCATTTACTTGCAGACGCATGTCATCCGTGCAGCTGCTCTTGTGAGGCGATCCAACATGACTTCTCCATCTGCGCAGGAGATGACGTATGGCTTTCTCACCTACACAAATGGCACCTTCTTCATCAAGCGGGTGGGGCAGCACGACTATGCTTTCACAGACACCATCAGGCCCGACGACACAGACCCCACAGTGCTGGAGATGCTGCTGTGTGAGCTTTGTGCACAGCGGGGCGGGCCGGGCCGGGGCGCCGGCTGAGCTGAATTGTTGAGTCAACGGCCTCTGCACCAGCTGCATCCAACTCTGTGTTGGGGTTCATCCATGGCAGAGTTCCTCCTGTGCGTGCCACCTGGCATTATCCGCTTTGTACCCTGCAGCACGCACATGCTTCAGCTCCTTCCAATCAAGAGACCGCTCTCCTGCGTGCACGACCATCGCGTCACCCGACATTTACAGACGTGCTGTTGAAGCAGGACGAGGCGGGCCCTTGGCCAAGCGCATCTGTCGCACACCAAGCTGTGCCTGCAGGTGGTCCCGCTGGCACCCTAGCAGCAGGACCCACATCCAGCAGCAGCAGCCCGCAGCACTCTCTGCCTTCGCCAGAAACGGGCGCCGACGGCGGGGCGGCGGGCGGGGAGCAGGAGAACTTCAGGTGTGACCCTCAGCAGCAGCACGGCCCCTCAGCTTTGGTGGTCACCCACTACATCCTGGGGAAGGGCAAGTGCGGCGGCGTCGTCCAGGGCAGGTGCGTGCCAGCTGGTGCAGGGTTTGAACCCTAAGCCCTAAAGCCTAAACCCTAACCCTGGTGAGGGCACGTCAGCTTGCAGGCAGTTGCAATGCGGCACAGGGCTAGCTGGACATGCACATGTTTGTTCCGCTACGCCTAGCCACTCACGTGGCCCGGGTGCTGCCCAGAAGCCCATCACTGTCGCTCATAACTGCGTGGAGTCTTTGAAGCGGCCCTGTGCTCCACCTTGCAGAGCGTACGGGCAGCTGGCCGCCATCAAGGCATTGGATGTGTCGAAGCAGAGCGCCATGCTGCCCAAGTGGCAGGCGGAAGTGGCCATTTACGGTGGGAGTCCATGTGGGAAGATGCTGTGATATTCAGTACGCGTGCGTGCACGGCAATACTGTCTGCACGGATCCTTTCTCAGCAGCTCTTGCTTCAGCTCCCGGGCAATGTCTGATCCAGGCGCCCCCGCTCTCAGCCCAACGCACTTCAACAATCGCCTTGCACAGCTGTTGCTGCCACGGCGCAAAGCTCCATGCTCACAGCCACTGTCGGCATAACTTGAAATGAGGGACCTGACGCGATGCCGCCCTCTTGGTCTGGCCGACCGCGCAGGTCGCCTGAGGCCACTTCAGGGCGTGTGCATTCCAGTCTTGTACGCCTGCGGCTTCTGGGACGAGGGGCGGACCTACTTTTTGGCCACCTCATTGGTGCGGGGCGAGCACCCACGCCCTGGCATGCGCGAGGGCGGCCAAGACGCCGAGCAGGTGGGCCAGACGTGCGACATGGGTAGCTCCCAGACGTGCGAGATGGGTAGCTCTCAGACTGCAGCAGCACAGAGCTCTCCTGAGGCGAGGCTGGTATGGGTCATGTTGGCCTTACTCAAGGTTGAGATTCTCCTCTGCATCCTGATCCGTAAGAGGCATGGTCAATCATTGGCGTGGACCCAGGGGTGCACCGTATGCCCCTTTGTTTGGCAGGCGCTGCGGCAGCTCCACGCACAGGGTATTCTTCACGGCGACATCAGGGGTGAGAACGTCATCCTCACATTTGAGGACGGCGGCCGACGCAAGGTGACGCACCACGGCCCCTTCAGGGTTTTGGTTACACGGCTCGCGTTTAAAACTCAGTCCCCGCTCGGGCTGTGAACGGCCCACGTGCTGATGGATTGCAGCCAGCCACAGCGCCTCTGGCTGAAGCCTTGAAGTTTGACTCCGCGCTCCAGCGCTGTTTGTCATGTTGAATGGCATCCCCCAAGGCTGGCGCCGGTAATGTTGCACGGGTGCTTGCGTACCTTCCCCTACTGTCATCCCGCAGCCCGGCTTACAAACTGATGCGGTGGATCGCCTTTGCACGCAGGCGTGGCTGATTGACTTTGAGCACAGCACTGAGTCCTTCGACCCAGAGGCCCAAGCCGCTGAGCTGGCGGAGCTGCAGGCGCTGTTCAGGCCCTCTTGACACGGACCAAAGGGTCACCAGTGGTGTGAGATTATTGTCAATGTTTGACCCCAGGCCGCTAGCAAAGGGATATGACACGAGAAATCAAAAACCTTTTGGCGCACCTGCCGTAAAGATAGAGATGGCCTGGGAGTAGCTTGACGCTGTACGTGCTGTGTGCAAGCCTCAACATGCTGCTTTTTCAAGTGGGAAGTGTTCATAGCATGCTGAGGGTTTGCCTTAGTACACAGATATAGGGGGTATGCTATCTTTCCATGCTGAGCCGCAAGTGTTTGACTTGCCGGGGGAGAGGGGCAGGGCCCGTTCCGCTCCTGCAAGCCGGGGGAGTGTGTGCCTTGACTCCGCTGCAGCACCTGTGCTCAGCTGCGTGCACAGGACCACAGCCTGCAATAGTAATTCTGCTCGCCTGCACGCGGCATGGGCTAAACCCTAACCCCGTGGTTTGCGCCTGGTTATGAGCGATCTGCCGCAGGGCGGGGCCAGGTGCGATTCCTCCCAGCTATGAGCAATCTGCGGCGGTTGCACTTCGGCAGCGGGGGGCAGGGGAGGGAGTGGAGGCTGGAGTTCCCTGACTGTGAGGAGCAGTCTGCAGTGGCGACATCCCAGAGGCCGGGTGGGTGAGTGGCTGCTGCATCAGTTACTGATATGTAATTAGTTGCGTCGGGAGATGTGGCAGATGTTGAAGGGACAAACCAGGCGCCGAGGGGGTGCAACCCAGGACCGCCCTCTGACCCCTCCAGCCGGCAGCCACCGCAACATTCTCACAACGAATTTTTGCTACGTTTGCTCAGCAGCTACGCGCCGCGGTCCGGTCCATCCAGGCCCTCACAACCTCCACTGCCCCCGCCGCGCACGCGCGCCGCAGCCGCGGGTACTCCATCCCCAGAAACCGCCGGCACCCGCCCGCCTCCTCCGTCGCCGCCTGCACGCCGCCGCTCACCGCGTCAACGCGCTCGGGCGGCAGGCGCAGCGCCTCGGCCGCGCGCAGCGCTTCCTCATACGCCAACATGGCGGCTTCTTGCAGCGCCTCCGAGGCCGCAGCGGCCACCTCTGCGGTGGACCCAGGAAAGGGGGCCGCGGGCAGGGGCACCTCCTCCAGACACAGGCTGACCAGGGCCGCCGCCACTGCCCCCTCCCCCTGCACTTGTGCGGCGGCCGGCTGCCCCTGAGCCGCAGCCGCCGCAGCCGCAGCCGCCACGCCTGCTTAATTGGCCGGTCCCGGCCCCGGCCTCGCGGTCACCCGCACATGGGCGGCGGATGGCGGCGTGCCCGTCGGCGTAGCTGGCCCCTGATGACGAGGCTCCGTAGGAAGCCCTGGCGCCGCCGCAACCGCCGCCAGGCGCGCCCGCTTTGCGGCCGGCTCACCGTGCGCGGCCGCATCGCAGATGGCGCCGCGGCGCGGCTGCAGGGAGGCAGCTGGCTCGTGCTGCTGCGGCTGCTGCTGCTGCTGCTGAGGATGATGATGATAATCATGATGATGATGCTGTTGCTGCTGCTCGCCGCCGGCAGTGAGGATGAGGTCAAGCGCGTTGCGGCCAGCCGCGCGCCGGATGGCTGTCAGGCGCCAGCCCACCAGCTCGCGCAGCGTGCGGACGCCCCTCCCAAAGTTGCGCCCTCGGTTAATTGAGGTGTTAAACCTCTCCCCCCAGGGCCGCCCGTCCACCTCCAGCTGCACGCTGACATCGATCGGGAGGCGGGCGCAAGGGAACCAGCTGTGCAGCAGAGGCTCCGGCATGTGCAGGGGCTTCAAGCCGCCACTCCTGTTCATTCCAAATCCAGCGTCTGCGCCTGCGGTGCCAGCAGCGGCATGAATGCGGGGACGCGCAGGGTTGCCGCACACATGGCGACGATACGTTCAATCGGGCCACGCCAGTAAGGGGTTGCCTAGAGTGCGTCCACACCGGCCGGAGCAGGTGGCAGGCCGCTGCCCTTCCGCCGGGTGGGCTCGGATGGCCCGTGTGAGCGGCTGCGACCCCTTGTGTGTGACTCAAGGCCCCCTCACCGTTGGCAGCGTGAAGAGGGCGCCCTCGCAGGCACCGCGATTGCTGACATCATCGCCTCCGCCAGCGCTGCCCTCCTCCCCCTCCTCC